TGACGTTTGTTGTGGGACCTAAAAAACAATTCTTTGTTTTCCAAACAATTCCATTGATTGCGAACAGTTCTGTTTGCCTATCTTTGTTTAAAGATATTGAAACTTGAAGTAGAAGTTTATTTAATTTCGCTTTTTAAAGCAATTCAAAGCCAAGTGACCACAATATTGAAATGCTTATATATAGGTAGGATGAATAAGAACTACAAGAGCAAGTAAAACTAGTAGCTTTCATTTATTATTATTATTCAGATAAAACCTGGCGAGCCTAAAGCAATTCTATTAACAGCATAAATGCGAGAAGTTGTTACAAGAAAATGAAATACAAATACAGTAAATAGGTTACTACTCTGGCTTCTTTTCAGTTAAAGAGCTAATGTTCCTTGAATTAGACGTCAATTTATTATTAATATAAACAAACTGTATTAACAGTCTTTAGCTATTAGTACGACTAGACAGAACATTTTCTTTACAATTTCTCTAACTTTGAATTCCTCTCTAAATAAATAAATAAATAAATTACTGAACAGAAACATTTATTTTAAAATTTTTCTATCTTTGAATACCACTCTAAATAAATAAATTACTGAACAGAAACACATTCCAACTAAGATCTCCCTAGGCACGCTACAGACTTGTAATTTCCTTTAGGATTATTTTCTGAAATCTGGGCAGAAAATGTGCTTTATAAAAATAATCTTTTATAATTGTTCAAAGAATTATAGTAGATACACTTGTCTTTAAAAAAAATAATCAGTAATTCATAATTGATATTTATGAAAGTAATTTTCAAAATAGGCTGCATGTTTATGTTTGTAAATTTCTATTAATTAATTAAATTAACTTTGCCAGTCAATTACAATTTGTGATTGAAAAATAACATAGCATTGCAAACGTACTGCAAGACAATTAGTCCGTGCTTATAATGTTCTGCGATCTTTACTTTATATATCTGTGTTAGTTGAGTCTTTATAATAAGTTTGGTCGTGGTGGGTCTCACCGTATCGGAAATTAAGGCGGTCATACAGACAGACAACGGAACGTCTTGCTCTTCAGGCATATTTGTACTTTGCAGCTTCGGAGAGATGCTTTCTGTTGCCTGCAACATCTTCATAGCCCGCTCTATCCTTCGAATAAAGTCATATATTGTGGTCCCAGCTTTCAATTGAAACATTTACTTAGGAGCACTTGACAAGTTACTGTTTTGGGATTTGAACGAAACATAAATTTAAATTTGGCAATCACATGAACACCAAATGCTTTGTTAGCCTTGTTGTTGTTGCGATAAGCACTCATATTAAAAGAAATACGAACTTCGAGAATACAATAAGGCTGTGGAATAAACCTCTTCTTTAACTTGCAGCAATATTGTAGCTTTATAGTTTATAGATTTTGAAGAGAGAATCTATCATAAGGGGGCCTTAAATTATGATTTTCTTTGTTTTACAGTCAGATGAAGCTGCGGTCAGAGAGGCTAATAATTTGCACAATGATTCATTTATTTATTTAACAAGTTAAAAAAAAAAAACAATGGCATAGATTTGATTTCTTTTAGATTTATGTACAAAAATGAAATTTATGCTTGCAAAATATTAAATCAAAAAGAAATAAACATTTTTATTCGCGGTGGATCTTAATGGATAAGCTTTCTGAAATAGACTGCCGTGTTTAGGTTTAGTTTCTTCAATATATTTTAAAGTTGTGCTATCTAAAAACTTTAGATTGTGTTAGCGGTTCTGACACACTGACTGCACAGTTAAGTCAAGTCTAGATTTAGGTTGTCACAAGGGTCTGTAGAGCAACTAAGAAGTTCTTTTAGTTGTGAAGTAACTAACCAAGGCAGCTTTCCTTAGCCAGAAGTTCTTTTAGCTTAGGCGTTCACTCTCAGAAATTATTTAGGCGGATTTTGTTTCACTTATCAACTGAACTTGAATTGAATTTTTAAGCAATTTATCAGAATTGCCACAATAAGCGTAGGTTTTTCCCAAAGCCTTTAGATGTAAGTACATAAGGCTATGCTCGACTCTGTTTTTGGCGATAAACATTCCCTAGCCAAAGGCTTAGATAAGCTTTAGAGAACCAAAGAGCTGCCAAAGCAAGCAAGAAATACATACATGAGTGCGAGTATGTATGTCGATTATTCAAAACGCTTCATCGGCCTGCTGTGCCTGAAAGTTGTTCCAAACTACAACTTAGTTAATGGCACTCCAAAGAGCCGCAGGGCGCGTCATAGACCACACGCATGGGCCTTGGGCCAGGCGGGGGCAGCCACAGAAAGAGAGAAAGGGTCATGAGAGTTGGGAGAAGACATGGACATAAAGACATGGACATATTTTGTAGGTGACAAAGTTATTATAAGCAGCCGCGGTAAGTCGCGCGACCAAAGAACAACGAAGTGACACTATCAATATCAGATAAGGCCGGCAAACGATCGCTACGAAGTGTCAAGCAAGCAATTTACGAACCCAAAACAAAGCGCATAAAACCCGAAAAGCGACTCACACACACACACACACACAACAGGTTCATTGGGCATAGAGTATTTGGGGGACCACCAAGCGTTACGATTGTACCTGACCATTAGAAACGAGCGCAAGCAACCTGCTGACTTCCAAGTACATGAGCATAAAAAATCAAACATTTCGGCTTAGAGGGCCACTTACAAGCGATCTCTTTACCTCTTTCTCTCTCTCTACCTGTCCCTCTATCTTGCTGTCGCTGTCTATGGCTAATGAGACTCAGACTCAGATTTATTGCTAATTGTAGACCAAACTACATACTAAACGTTTAGCGCATAAATCTAAACGAGGCTCCCACGTCGATCTCGGCGCTGCCACTATGAGTTGGTCTCGTGCCTGATCGCTGACTCATGGGCTGTCATTTAAGTGTCAATCATTTCGGACTGGCGCTCAGATTACACACACAGCTCTACGGGGTTAACTGGGTTAATGTTAACGGTACATGTTCCCTGTCCAACACTGGCAGAGTTATGCGCACCATGAAGCGCATAAACCCAACGATTTTATTCGATTTTTGTGGCCTACGCGCTTCGGCCAAACCCGTAAAGTTCATCCGAACAGGGGGGCCTGTTTAAACAGCGCAATTAGTATAGAATTTCTTTAAATGTTTCAATATGCCACTTGGGTGGGTGATAAAAGCAATGCAGTCAAGATATTTCAAATAATGATTACAAATACTGGACTAGATAGATCTACATTTATGATAGTAAGAGACAGGAATTTCAATTTGTAGCTAATCGGATGAAACTTTAAAATAACAAATCACTCAAGTTAACGGTTTAATTGATCCATTAGCCGGCATTTGTAAATCGACAATTGTGAATACTCGTATGTTTATTTCACTCACAATTGAAAAAGGCCAAACAAAGACTTCCTACATGTAAAAAAAATGTTTTATCTTAAGTTTAAATTACTGTATAAAATAGTTTCTTCGTGTTATACATTTTGAATTAATTAATTGAATTAATTATAAGTTTATGTTTGTTTTAGGAAAATAATAGCTTGTGTTATGTTAAAACGATCGTCCACAAAGCACGAACTAAAATTTTATCTGGTATTCGACAACATACATAGGTGCCATGCCTATGTGAAGTTCTTATATTGAATTTGCTAAATTCTTGTCATTTACAAAAGCGGTGCCTTAATATTTATAAAGTTTTACACATATGACCAGAAAATTTGAATTAGAACCGAGCGGGGCCAACTCTTTTCTGAGTCAATATTGTGTAAAATTTTTGCACCATATTCTTCATTGCTTGCATTTTTATGTGGATTTGTGGTTTGTGAACATCTATTAGTGATATTTCGATTTTTACAATGTCCAAATTTATTCATTACTGAAATTCTGTTATGTTTCGTGTAAAGAACAGAATTTGCAGAAGGTTTTTGAGGAAGAGGCAAAAAAATGGATTCAAAGAAGGTAGAAATTTATGAAAAAATTGATGCTTTAAAATCGTCGTTTTTAAACTAGAGATAATGTTTTTGGCATTTTTGTTTCTACATATATCGTTTAAAAAGGACCATTTCAGAAGAGTCGAATCTGTTTGTTTTCAAAACTGCCTCACCACCACACTTGTTCTTTATAACCATTTCGGCAAAACAACATGTATATCTTTCCACAATCACCAAACATACGTATGTCTGATTTAGCTTTGTTAGAAATCTCTGCCGAATCAATCTAAAATCAAGCCGAATTGAAAAGGAAGCTACTGAAAAACATTCCAGAAAAAGATTATTTGGAAGAAGGGTTGAATATGTGTATTGTATCAGGAGGGGATTACTTTGTAGGCAATAAAATAATTTTTAATAAATAAATAAAGAGTTTTTAAGGTTATAAACCAGCTCCCGGTAATTTTTGTACTTCAAATTGAAAACAGCAAATGGACGGGAATTACAAAAATAAATTAAATCGAGTACACGAAAAAAGATGTCAGCCCCAGTATAGCCCCTACAGAATTTTTTTAATGTGAACAATATGAAAAATAAATATTTAACCTATAAGCCATTCCTGCTATTCAAAAGATAAAATAAATCTGAATCGCTTGGAAATGTCTTAGGCCTTCTAAAAAAATTGATTAACATTAAAAAAATAAGATTGTTAAGGGCTTTTGAATGGTTGAACAAATTATTATCAAATGCAAATGTAATTATTGGATCATAAAATAAAAGTTTGTAACTTTCTGAGTGTTTTCAAAATGTTTGAAGATCCAAACTTGAAGAATTGTTTTATATAAATTTAAAAATGGTATTCAAATAAGGAAAACATTTGCAACTTTCTGTAACTGAGTTACTGAGAGTTTTCGAAATGTTTGAAGATCCACACTTGAAGAATTGTGTTTTCTAAATTTAAAAATGTTATACAAATAAAGAATACATTTGCAAAAATTTATATTCATTGGCAGTTGAGGAAAACATTTTCATTTGGCATTTAAATAGGAGTTTTCTGAATGAATTGCTTGCCAGTACGATATCAAGCCAGCTATCATGCGATTCTTTGTGCAATGTTACAGAAATAGTTACACCTTCAAGACCCACCAGCAACAACTCGGCCAGCCAGAGAAGATTTCGCAACAGCACCCACCAAAGTCGTCATATCAGGCCCAGCAGACCCAGCAGGCCCAGCAGCCCATTATGACGCACAAGTCGAAGCGGGACTGGGACATTAATGATGCGATAGTGCCTCAGATGTCGGATATTGATTTCGATGAGTTCAGCGAGTGGAGCGATGGTCATGTCCGTCTCGTCTATTCCATACACAACGAGGAGGCCAAGAAGCACATTTCCGGCTGGGCCATGCGGAACACCAACAATCATAACGTGAACATACTGAAGAAGAGCTGCCTGGGTGTGTTGGTCTGCTCCCAACACTGCACCCTTCCCAATGGCACCAAAATCAACCTGCGACCGGCCATTTGTGACAAGGCGCGACGCAAGCAGGAGGGCAAGGCGTGCCCCAACAAGAGTTGTCGAGGTGGCAGGCTGGAGATAAAGCCGTGTCGGGGCCACTGTGGATATCCCGTCACGCATTTCTGGCGGCATTCGGGCAATGCCATCTTCTTTCAGGCCAAAGGCGTGCACGATCATTTGCGACCCGATCCAAAGAATTCGAGCGTTTCGAAGCGTGCCTTCGGACGGGTTTCGTTGACGGGCATTTCCAATTCCAAAGCCACCAGCGTACGCAGTGCGGGTGCTGGGGCGGGGGGCAAGAAGTCCGTCATTGCCGGTCTGGTTAAGCAGGTCAAGGTGAGTTGAAATCTAGTCCACATAATGATGTACTAACGGCTCTAACGGCTTTTCATGCACAGCACCAACATAATCTCATGGGTAAGGTGTTGAAACGAACGACAGCTAATAATTCATTGAGCCACTCGGCTCTGGAAATATATCAGTTGAATGGTAAGTTGGCAGCTAAAGGGATTATATTATTGTCTGCTAGCCATGATTCAGCTGAAGGTTCTCAATATACTAGATTTTGTACATTGGTTTCTAGTATAGTTAGAAAACTATTCTACACAGAATATTTATTATTTATTTAGTAAATCAACAAGAAGTCCAGTCGATACATTCTATTATAATTATAACTATATATAGTATTAAAATTTTATATATTTTATATAAAATATAGCTGAGAGGCAGCTTTTTTCTTTTTCTCAGGAAAATTTGGAGACATTCGCTTGTTCAGGGAGTAGCCGAGATATTTTATATAAATATTTTTCTGTTGATGTTGTTGTTATACTTCGTTGCTTATTTAAATCAATATAGAAAGATAGTTTCAGTTTTTATTTGTACCCTTTTATGATTCCATCGATCTCTCAGAAGTGGAGTTTAGTTAAAGTTTTAATGAAGGCTCAGTAGCCTGTCATGGCTTTTGGGGTTTTTAACAACTTGATAAGTTTAAACTAAATTCTTTTTTAAGAACACTAAGCCAAGAAAGCTGATTCCAGAACTGGATAACACGATTAATAGATAGACATATTGAATTTGTTTCTGAATCTCGGCTAGTAAAGTTATGTATCCTTATTTTTAACCCCCACTGGATTCGCACTCATTTCCTCTTTCTTATTGCTTCAGCTTGTGGCAAGTGCACCACGTATAGTCACTGCACTTGCAGCTATTTGGAGGACACACGCACCCACCAACTGACACAGCCTGCCACCAATTATGTAAGCAACTCCTGGCCCTTGAGCTCGACAGAGGCCGCACCTTGTGAGATGGGCACGAATGTGTTCACTGTGAATCATCAGCACATCACTTACAACTATCCGATCTATCATGCCACGCCTGCCACTGCCACAGCCACGCCCAGCAAGTCCCCAAGTCTGCCCTATTCCTGCATTTCGGAGCTGGGCTACCATCAGCCATACGGAGGTGGCAGCGGCAACAACAACACCACCCATCAGCAGTCCTTGAGCAGCTGCTATAACAGCAACAACAACAACAACAGCTACCAGCATCAAGCCGGACCCGGCAGCATCTCGTACGAGTCGAGTTCCCAGTTGGCCACGCCAGAGCCCGAATTCATAAACTACTCGCAGATCAAGCATTTGGGGACTACAGCGCCCAACCTGGATTTGGAGTCGAATTGCAAGACCGAAGGTACACCGCCCACCATCAAGTACAATGCCACGGTTGAGACGCAACCCTATACGGATGAGCGCTACGAGCATTACTACAATCGAGACCCCAAGTCGGACTACGAGCTCCAACAGCAGTTCAGTCTGGCGGCAGGGAATGTTTCCGGCCACTTTTATGAGAGCGCCAATGGCTATAATGGCGTCAACTACTTCGATACGAGCACCACGCCAGGGAAGCTACAATTACCCACCGGTGGCTATGATGCTGGACCGGTTGCTAACAGCAATAACAACAACAACAATAGTGGCAGTAGCACAATCCTTGATAATGGCAGCTATAGCTATTACGATCATTATGCCAACTATGAGCAACAAATGGCGGCAGCCAGTGGTTTCAGCAGTGGCGGCGCCACAGTGGCTGCTGCCGCAGCAGTGGCAACCCAACCGACGCTCACCTATCACCACCACCATCACCACCACTTGCACCACGCACAGGCACAATCCCATGCAGCGCATTGATAGTACTTAAGGGGCTGCTACAGCCTCCAAAATTACTCATAGTTTGTAGTGTTTAAATAGTTATCATTATTTAATGTGCTAGCCTTAGTTTATCATGTTTTCTTCAAAAAATATTCGTATTGTTTTGCCGAATAAATTCAATACAAAATGTTGATTTATTAAAAACGCTCTCGAATTCTTATTAGACTGTACACATCTTTAAAGTTGAAAACTGTTGTTTTTCAATAGAGGGCGAGAGCTGCACCTTTGGCGTCAAATCAGAAAAATTACCTAAACTCCGGCAATGCGGCGAAGTTCGCTTCTAATAAGAACCTATTACAGCACTGTATTGTATTGGTATTAAAAGGGTACTGCAGCACCCTCTACAGTATTTTATCCGTTACTGAAGCACCATCTACTGTTTTAAATTAGTGTACAGCGGAACTGCAGCACCATCTACTGTATTTTACTTACACTAAGGCTCTCTTCTCTGCTTGACAGATACAAGTTTGAAAATATTATTATTGGAACTGCTCTTAAGAGCAAAATAATTTGAAATGTGCGTGGGTGGATATCCGTATTTACAAGAAAATAAAAAAGAATTTTTATGCGACTGGCAGTGTTCATAAATAAAAAACAAAAATAATTTAAAAATGTTCCAGAACTGTGGCACCACTTGAACCGCCTCCGCAACAGCGCTGCCACCGCGCACCACTTACACCATTGGCTCTCTCTCTTTTTCGTTGCTCATGCTGAGTGAGTGGTGAGTATGCGGCTGTATATGACACCGCCACGAGCGCCAAGTGTTGGCATTCGTAAGACTAAAGTTCCACGAGCTGGTTGCGTGTGTTTCGAAAGGCACTTTTTTGCTAATTAAATAACCTCTATAAACTTTACCGGTTGTAATAAATCAACGAAAATGGTGTACACAGTGAAAGACAAGGTGAGTTCAGTTAACTGTACTTTTGCAAAAATGGAAAACAAATAAATGTATGAACAGTAAGAAAAAACCCAAGCCACCCCGCCGTAAGTTCCACAAAGTCACAAACACATGCACACATACACACATACACAGCAGACGCACACACACGAGGACACACAGAGAAACATTCCTATATAAATTTTTTCTCATCGTTCGCCATACGCTTACAAATTTATTTCGTAGTGCGGCTTTTGATGTTGTTTTTGTGAAAGAATAGAGAAAACCAGTATATAAAAATGATATCATCTCTTCCCAAGCCAAAAGTCACTCTGACGCATAGAAATCGGTCAAACAAATCAAACATAAATATATATATATTAATACAAAATCTAAATGGAACTTTTTAAGTACCAAATATCACAAAATCAAGGCCACTTGGCGATATGGAAAAAGCCCATTTAAATGCTACTTTGCGCTCAGCACACTTGGAATTTTTTGGCGAACGAGCATTGCTGATTAAGATTTTGTATTGGCTTTTGAGCAATTTTCAGATTTGGCTCAGAATCAAAAAGTTCTCAATGAAAACCGGTTTCGAAGTTGAAATAAGATGGTAAAATAGTTAAAGTCTTTTTACTACAGCCACTTAGGTGTGAAATGTTTGCAAAATTTGTTGAAACATAGCATTACTAATCATGAGTCATGAATTTTCGAGCTCCGTCACGATTAAGAGCGATCATTTTGAAACAGGTTTAATTCAAATTATGAATAATAGCTTGCGTAATAAATTAATTTCAAAGTATTGCTCATTTCACAAAAAATAGTATAATTTGCTAACTACAAGTATGTAGATATAGGGATTGTTAATTATCGAAATGACATACATTTGAAGCGATAAAATCGCATATTTGCGCGCCAGCCCGCCCTAGAGGTGTTCAACGGAAATGCTGTCTTGAAAGGTCAACTTATCGGCTTAGACAATTACCACAATTAAATAAGGGGTCAGCAATAAACAATCCCTCTCCCGCCTCCCAAACACGCCACCGGGCATACACGTCATAAAATAATTGCCACAACAAATGCACAGAAAGAATAAACATCTGAATCGGGGACGACGCCCACCCACACGTGCCTTGTAAACATTTTATACTTATTCCGATTGATACTTCATGCATATACTATATGTATATACATACATATAAATGAGAGGCGCACTTGAATGAAAATTATAGCTTTACAAGAATTTCCAATTGGACATGTTTGTTTAACAAAATGTTAGCTTTTGGCAGTTGAAAAGCAAAAATTCTGAAAGTGAAAACAACAGACATTGAAATGGAAAATGTTGAACGCATTTAGAAACAAATTCTAGCAATATTTATGTATAGTGTTTGGCTTTAGAGGGTGTCTCTCAAGCGCTCTAAGATTATTACTTTCAAAAAAAGCAACTTTTTAAATAATTTTAATTTGATTAAAAATTAAACTTAATTAGATGTAAAGATGTAAAGGTATTTTAAAATTGATTACTTTAGAGAGTGTTTTTTAGAAAAGGTTAAATAAATGATTGGTTTTTAAGGGAAAAGGGTTTGGTTCTAATATTTTTATATTCCATTTTGGTAAATACTTAATAATTGTTACTATGGCAGTGAAGAATCCAATCAACAATAGTTTCCAATTCTCGCCTGATAAGCTTAAAGAACCTCATGGAGAACACTTTAAACTGAATAAAATAGGGCTAAATAATATGAGCTGCCGGTTCTTATCTAATTTACAATTCTACGATTATGTTTGCGATTATGGTGTTGAATTTCCAGTTCGGCTGCCTCCGCTTCGAGTTCCACCTGTCTAGGTATTAGTATATTGTTAAAATAAATTTGTAAAAACACCCTATATATTATATATGTATATACTTGTAGACTATGCATTGTATTCTAATATGCCAGCGTGCAATTGATAATCGTTGATAGTGTACGGGGCTAACGGACTATAGTGTCGATTAATAAATATATAATGTATGTGAAAAAACAATTAATCTAATGGGCTACCAGTCCAGGGAGAGAGAAGAACACAACAAAAGCAAATATTCAAATGCAATAAATGGAAAATGACCGCGAACTTACGCTTAGTAATTGGAGCAGCATTTTAATGTATAATAGCTGTACGGGTATACTATGTACATATGTTGTTGCTGTTGTTTTCGCCTTCTCTTTACATAATATCGCGACTAATGTGGGACTGTTGTTGCTGTGATAAGTAAAGTTGGCGACTGATAAGCGAACGTGCTCGCTAAATCGACAGACTGGTTGGGCTGATAAGCAACTCATAAAATGTGTCAAGTCATTTGATAATATAGGCGTCAACCCCTTTACTATTTAGCGGGCGCTCCAAACTAGGTTAGGTGTGACCCTTGGGGTCAGGAAAAACACACATTGCGTGCCTATCTCTTGGATATTTAGGTCAACTGTGTGAAAAATCAATAGAGATGAAATTAATCAGATCCATGAATACCTTTTAACCACTCCGTTGTCCTTGCCGCAGCCCAATAAAATGATGAGGCACTTTAAAAAACTTATAAAAACGAAATTTGATTAGAAAATCGTTATAAAGAACAAGTTATAAAATAGTCCATTGATTTAAGCTTCAGCATGAAATGGAACTCTATTAAAATTTATAAATACAGTATTTTGTAATGAAAAATAATATAAATTTAAATGTTATTTCATATATAAATAATATATATAATATATGATTCTATATATTTATAATAAACTTGATATGAAAGTAAATTCGACAGGGCCACATAACAAATTTGATTTCTCTTGCTATTATGGTTCAAAAGTTATCGCTGTTCATACAGTCGAACACATGGACGTACAAATATTTGTATACATAATAATAAATATTTTTTGTAATATAAAAATAATATAATATAATATAAAAAGGTGATTTTTATGAACACGATCTATATCTGTTACAGGCCGATTTGGACGCTCAGCTGGCCAGCGCTGGAGACAAGCTAGTGGTTGTGGATTTCTTTGCCACCTGGTGTGGACCTTGCAAAATGATTGCGCCCAAGCTGGAGGAGATTGCGCAAAAATTGGCAGAGAAAATTGTTGTGCTGAAGGTAAATTAGATTCAGTAATTTCTAGATTGGAAGATAACTAACCCACGCTTCCTCTTCTTAACTGCCCGGTTTAGGTCGATGTGGATGAGTGCGAAGAAATCGCCATGGAGTTCAATGTATCCAGCATGCCCACTTTTGTGTTCCTGAAGAACAGCAAAAAGATTGAGGAGTTTGCCGGCGCCAATGCCCAACGATTAATCGACACCATTGAAAAGCTTTCGGCCTAAAAAGTGTTTTTTGGAATGCTTTAGTCTCAATGTCCGCTAAATTATTGTCTGACGGATGATTTTCCAACACCACACAAAAGACAATTAATTTAATGATTTTTCTTATCATTTTCTTCATAATAATTAGCTAATTATTCCATAGGATCCAAAGTTCTTCTCTCGATGTTTCGCACATTTGGTTATCATTTCATAAATCAATATATTTATATATATATATATTTTCTTGTAACGATATACTTAATTGGTGTGTTCAACACTGCAGTGCAGCGAAAGTAAAAAGCAAATCAAAAACGGATAAATAAAATTCTGAAGTTAATGGGATAACAAAGTGGCTTTTAGAAACGTAACTAAAGTAAAACATTTGCTTTATTAGCCAGTTAATAAGTTTTTTGTATTGGAATTTTTACATAGAACACATTGTACACAATCGTTTTGAAATAGATGAAATGGAAAATAAATAAAACATACATATATGTGAAACAAGTTGACAACAAAGTGTATAATTTATCGCTCTAAGCCAAAACTTGGTCAGACAGGCAAATAGTTTGCCAGCCAATTCGAAAAGTTATACAATTAGATAACTAAAAAGCATTTCAAATAGATGTTTGCCAGCTAAGAAGTTGCTTTTTGCTATTTAAATGAAATTAAACTTCACCATCATGTCGTGAAGAAAAAAACTAATAGATACCAATTTTGTTTAAGATTGAAATAGCTATATGAAATAATGTGGGATATATATGGTTTGTAAATAGCTAGCACTGGGTATGGATAAGACAAGTCTGACAGGTGTTCCTGGCTGTTCATACAGTCGAACAGACGATAGGATGTAAGACTATATTGACTCTTGATGTCTAGATTGATTCGTCTTCTCATGCTGTTCATACAGCGTGGCATCTGCTAGAATATCCCTTTCCTTTATTCGCTGCAGCGTAGAAACGTGTGTAATGCTAGAAGATTTTGAATCATCAATTCAATTGAGTCATCAATCATCATCAGTCAGCAATTTTGGTAAAGCAGTGGGTTTATCCAATTTTATATTTCTTTTTTTTCTTTTCTTTTTTTGAATATGTATGACTCATTTCCGAAAAAAGTTACATATATTATAATAGTTCGCTAGAGTTTTTAAATTTTTAAATTCTATTCAGTGTTTAGATTTTCTTAAAAGCAAAAGTTTTTTGGATTTTAAGCAGCAACAAAAAGACAGAAATGCTGCGTTCTTGGAAGAATTTGAACCAAGTGGCTTAAACTTTATTAAAGGCAGTAAGTGCTTAGCAGTTCCTTATTCTTGCAAAAAGATGCAGAACAATTGGGGGGCATTATTTTTTAACCGCTTTTCCAGGGCACCAATTCTAAGCAAATTTCGTTACTAACTTAGCTGGGACAAGAACCAATAGCCACTGTGGCAGCAGCTACGACTACTGCTACTACGAATCAAAGCAACTCTGGGTGGTGTATCAGCGACAGCTGCACCACAATGGCCGGAGAGAGCCAGTTCGAGTGAGGGCTAGACAGTGAGAGAGCGAGAGTGACAGAGAGAGGAGAGAGTGAGCGCGCGTTAACAACCGCATCCACTTGGCCAGCATGGGAAACGATTTCAGAACGACTATGAAACTCAGCAGGCAACGAACACACAGACATACTCGTAGAAAAACGACAACAACAAAAAAGCTGAAACAAGCCAAAAAATTGAACAAAAGCAAAAAGTATTTCAGTGTCTCTCGCAAGGCTGAGTTCGCGGCGTCGTCGTCGTCGTCGCTGCGTTCCGTGGAGAATCAAATATTAATTCAAGAAAAACTCAATTGAGGAGGGCCCAGCGAAAATAATAATATAAAGAAATTCATAATAAATACTAAAATAACGCCAAAAGCGGTTGCTGGCGTTTTTGCCAATTTGCATAATTTATATTCGTATATCTGCGTGAGTGTAAATGTGTCTGTGATTGTTGTTGTGTCTAAAAATCAAAATTGTATAACGATAAAAAAAGAAGAGTGAAGTAAGCCAGCCAGCCAGCCGGCGGGCTCCGTGAGGCGTTCAATAAAACCGTGCTAATTGTTACTTAAGAAAAAATTGGAATTGCAAACACAAAAAGTTGTCAAATTGCTTGAGAGCCAAAAACAAGACACAAATAATTTTATTTCACCAATCAGTGCCCCAAATGGCAAACGGTTCCAAGCGCTGCCGCTCCCGCTGCCATCGTCAACAGTCGCTGACTCAGCAGCGGCCGTGCTGCAGCGTCAAATAGCCGCAGTAGCAAAAATAACAATAACAAAAAGAGCAACAAACAGCAACAAGAAGAGCAGCAGTCGGCATCGGCGGCCACAACATGCCCAGTGCCCATTACCGTCCATTACTCGAGAAGAGGCTGCAGACAGAATTCAACGACGACGACGAGGACGGGGACGACGAGGACGCCGAGGAGTACGAATATATAGGCACCAGCAGCAGCACCAGCACCAGCAACAACAACAATTGCCAGCAGCAACAACAACAACAAGGGCCACAGCAGCAACATTTTCATAATCATTTGCAACCGCAGTTCAATAAACCAAAAATCTGTTACGATTATTATGAAACATCGGCCAAAGGCACGCCCGTTCTGAAATCGACCGCCAACGCTATGGTTCGTCATGGGCGCTACAAACGTCTATTGGTGGTCCTTTTGTTGGCCCTACCGCTCCTCTGCTTCGCCTACTATCTACTATATCCGGACACGCGCCTCGGCGCCAACGACGCCGAACGAGAATTCGATCCACATGTTGGCACAGGTAGGAGACAACGTACAAGAAATCCCGACGTTGCGGGGGTCATTGAGGGGGACAATGAGGTCCTCGATTTGATGATAACTGATCATCAGCTGCCCCGCAAATCGCCTATTGAATTGATTTCGCAGATAAAGCAAGATCTTAATGTTCGTCCCCGAGGGGAGGCGGAGCTGAAAAAGTTCAATGTGTTTGCGCCGCACGTGTTGGCCAAAAACAAGTTCAATTCCAAGCAAGCAATCCGAAAGTCACGTGAGTTGTTGTTTTTGTTGTCTCTTCCACTTCCACTTCCACTACTTCTTCTTCTTCTTGTTGTTGTTGGTGTACTTTTGTGGCCACACACACAGGAAGTGGGTCCTGCGCGCAGCTACTGCTGGCCAAACGGCATGTTCAACACTTATTCCATGCACCACGTTCGAAAGTGAATTCGCTTTCACTTTCTTCGTTAGTTTTGCTGTTGTTGTTATTGTTATTGTTGTTGTTGTTTTTCTTTCTGTAGAGCACCACCATACACAATAACTACGGGCATATTAGTTGACAAATATGCCCAGTAGAATATTGCCCATGATTAATATATAGAATTGTGTTTTACTGATTAGTAGAATGTTTTCTTATATTTTGCGGTTTTTATATTATATAAATTTGTATCCTATTTTATAATAGGTGGGATTTGTTTTCTACGCTTTTTTTAATTTCGACAACCTAGAAATTAGAAGCCAATTCCATAAATCTTGCTTGGGAAGAACCCAAAGAAGCTCTAGATGCAAAAGTTCTATTTATCTATATCTAATATGAACATTCATCGAATCGATTACATTTTGAAATATAAAGTACAAGAGAAACCTAGAAAAATATTTGTAGAAATGAATGTCTTTAATGAGTGTTTCCGCTCCAAAATTTGTTGCTTTAAATTGCAAAAAATATCCAAAGCTATTTTATTATTGTTTTATTATTATTATTTATTATTGTCATATTCTTCAAAGCATTTAAAAACTGTTGGTTCCATATGCAATCTGAAGGTTATACAATCCATCCAAAATACAACTTCGATTAGGTATTTTTAGTCTGAATTTAAATTTAAAGTATTGTTATTATTTGCTCAAATCGAAATGCTGGCATAAGTAATTATATTAATTTTTAGTATAAACGTATCAAATCTAATTGAACTTTATCAAAAACTTAATTACATTTAATTCTTAGATATGTGGATGTTGAAAAAATACTATTTTATATATTTTGTTTATAATTGTTTAGTTTTCTGAAATAATATTCATATATTCTTCAATATGATAAATTGTTATTTCCATATTAATGGAATTGTTTTTACAAAATCTAAAACAGGACAATTAGATTTTAAAGAAATACAAAATGTATTTATCTTAACTATTATATAATATATTTAAGGGCTACTAATAATAGACTCTTCCATTCCGTAATACTTGTACGATTTTCACATGTAAGACGATTCAAAAGTCTTCGCAATAACAAGGTTTTAATGTGAAGGACGATTTAAATATTTATAGAAAAGAACTAATTACTTGAAAACCGTTAGTATTCAATTAGAGCTAGGAACGCTTTGATAAGATAAGAATGAGTTCGTTAATAGTTAGGCGAATTTTGAATAAAAACCATGTTGTGGGTTTTTATTAAATGTAGTACTCATTAAATGTTCATAGCAAATTTTCGTTTCCGGCAAGGCAGAACGATGCCCAAATGTAAATTTTAAACAGTTAGTCAGTTAGTTGTTTCGGTGCAAGCAGAATTGCTAATGCTGGGCCTTTTGAATAAAAACCCACAACATTTAATGTTAAGTTCTGTGTAAATATAAGATAGGAGTTGGACATGACAAATTAATTCAGAAAAACCCGAGGCTATTACCTATAACCGACTTCAAAAAAGGAGGAGGATATCAATTCGTCTCCTTTCTTCTTCTTTTTCAACAGAACGTTGTTGTAAAAGCTATATTGTAAATTGGAAACAAGTTAGCTGCATTTACAAGCATAACAGATTTTAAAATGTTGTTTGTTAGATTTAATGAAAGCTGTGATTTGTTTTTCCAATTTTAATCACAGCTTTTTTCAATCATATAAGGGCTGTTATTCTAAGCAGTTAGTGTACATTTGTGCCTGCTTTTTACCATTAAACTTAAGCTCCATTTATACGTAACATTGTTACGTCTATATATGGTCGACATGAAAATGTGGCTTAATCGGAAGCACAGCCAGCTTCTCATTCACAGCCACATAAAAGCCACAAACTAACGACTAACTAACTAACAAACTCAACACTCTCGCTCATGCCACTCTCGTCACACTCTCTCTTTCTCTCCAATTTTTTCACTCGCGATACCCCGCCCCCTCCAGAGCCGTTGCCTTAGTGTTGGGTTGCGGTAATCATCGCATGTACAAGTAGGTTGGCAGAAGACTGTCGGTTCGTCATTAGACATTGCTTAACATGTTGGCTTGTTACTTCTTCATTAGTTGGTAGTACGAGTAATTGGCCTAATTCGATTGGTATGAGTGGTATCTCTTTATACTTGTCGTATCATCAATAGCTGTCTGAAGCGGTTGGGGCTGTGTGTTTTTATTGACCACAAAATTTCCAGCTACAGTTACGCGACATGCCACATTTTCTAGGTCTTCTATTTAACTATTTCTTCTTCTTCCTCTTTTTTGTTGCTGTCTGAACGCAATTTATTAGCTAATTTCTACGCTTTCAATGGCATGGGCTTTGTGAAGTGGTTGCGGGCAGGCGCTTATTGTGGGGTAATTGTGTTTGTCAGTTGTACTCTATGTGTATATCGATTGGTTCTAGAACGTCCGCTTCCCCGATGGTCTTTGCTTTGTTTACATTGACACTGTGAGAATGCTAGATATAAACAAAAAAAAAAAAGTAGAACAGGGCATTGATGGATTGCACAAATTGTAATTGGAAATTAAATATTAATGCTTTTGGCTTAAGCTGGAAATGGAAAGATGTGCAATTTATAGAAATAGATAACAGCTTACATTTCTTTAACTATTATATATTAATTTCATATTTATTTAATTTTGTTGAGTATTTTGGTGACCTTCCTCATAGTTATTTTTATTGTTTGGCCGGCTCGAGGTCAGAGTAAGAAAAACCAATTTATTTAATTTTAAGGGACTACCGATGGGATCCCCGGCGTCCCCTGTAATAGCGGACATAGTCATGGAGGAGCTTCTGGAAAACACAACATCGAAATTGATCCATAGACCAAGACTCCTGACCAAATATGTTGACGACTTGTTCGCAATTATTGACAAGGAACAGGTGCAAAAGACATTAGACGCCCTCAACATATACCACAAAGACATCCAATTTACATTAGAGACAGAAAATGACGAGAAACTTAATTATTTGGATTTGACTATAAATAGATGTGGGAATACGCTAAAAACAAAATGGTACCAGAAACCGACGGCATCGGGTAGGCTGATTAACTATCACTCGAAACATCCGAAAAATATGATAATAAATACAGCCAAGAACTGTATAAGACGGATGTTCGAGACAAGTGACAAATTTTACCATAAACAAATAGAGGAAGAAATTAAACGGATACTGACACAAAACGACTTCCCTATCAAATTGACGTATTCCCTAATCAAGAACCATAAGAACCCAAAGAAAAAAGAACCAAGAGCACCAAAAATCTACAAATCTCTGACATACGTATCTGGGTTCTCAGAACGCTTCACCCAGTCAGACTGCTATCAAAAAGAGGATATACAAATTGCGCACAGACCGGAGAATACACTTAGGAACATTTTTAATAGGACTAAGGCAAAAATTGCAGAAATGGACCTGAATAACGTAGTCTATAAAATTCCATGTGACGGAGACAGCGACAACCCATGTAGGAGATTTTACATTGGAACCACTAAGTCGAAACTAAAAACACGGATATCACAACACAAGTCAGACTACAAACTAAGGCATCAAACATTGACACAAAAAACTGCTCTAACAACCCACTGCATAGAGACTGGACACACCCCCAACTTTGAAGAAACGAAAGTACTTCAACAAGAACGACACTACAGTAAGCGATTCACTCTCGAAACGCTACACATTATCAACACACCTAACAAATACAGAATTAACTACAAAGCAGACACCGAAAATTGCGGGCATATTTACAGACACCTGTTAGTTAGTAACTCCAAGTCAAACAGAGCAGACTTGCTTAAATAAGTAATTATATAAAAAATTTTTGTGTTATAGTTTTAATATGTTAATTATGTTATATGTTTTGTAGTTGCCCTGAAGACGGTTACCGTGGCGTAACCGAAATATATCGGAAAAAGAAAAGAAAATTAAATAAATTGGTTTTTCTTACTCTGACCTCGAGCCGGCCAAACAATAAAAATATTTATTTAATTTTATTTAATACACGAAGTAAACAAATGCAAACAGTCAATATATACTTCTCAAATAAATAGTTGAGTTGGTTTAAATACTACTTTTTAGGATCAAATGCATTTTTGAGTGGTAAATCCACTCGAAGCAACAGATATTGAAAAGGTCGTCTGAACTACTATACGATATATATTACTATTATATTATTATAATTTTATATTATTATATTATTATATTATTATATTATTATATTATTATATTATTATATTATTATATTATTATATTATTATATTATTATATTATTATATTATTATATTATTATATTATTATATTATTATATTATTATAGTGCATACACGATTCGTTGGTTTATTGCTCTTGCTGGAACAGAAAAAAAAAATTAAAAATGCCAAAGAAGAAAAAAGTACAAGCAATAACAAGCAATCTTCTTACTTCCTTATTAAACAATGAACTGCATTTATATGATGATTCACTGTAGTCGTGTTATCAAGAATGTGATAAGGTTAGGGTCCAACTTACTTCAAACCGAGTGTCATAATAATGTTGTAAAAATAATAATAAATACAAACAGTAGCTATAGTTAAATCATATTCTAAATTTATTTATAGCAAAAATGTGACTATTATGTGTCCGAATTAGTTTGATTTATAATGCCCTACTATATACATTTTGTCTGCTTGTTTATTTTATCTGAAAAGCAAGAATGCGTTACCAAAAAAAAAAAAACGAAAAAAAAAAATTATTTCTTAGAAATATTCGATGACAATCTTTGCTTTCAAGATTAAATGAATAACACATTTGGGGCAAATATTGGTGTTAAATATTTGCTTCATACGTAGTGAAAAAAAG